TCCTGGTGGGCCGTCGGACAGCCGACCTTTCTTGCTCTGTGTTTGTCATATGCTGAGCTGACAGTGACAGACTGATTGAACAGTGTATTAAACAAGACAGATGCCAAACAAATTAACATCGAGTGACAGAAGACCAGACAAAAGAATATTCCCCTGACACTGACTCGACCGAACACGATATTTAAATGTATTATTTTGGCATTAGTGTTGCTAACATAAACCTACTTTGCTGCTTTGGCAGTTAAACGAGCAGTTTTGAGACAAGCAAATGAATCCAGAGCAGGATGAAAGGCCTGTGGAAGGATACAGCTAAAAAAAGGAGCGGTGGGTGTAGCAAAGACACATTTTCTCCAATAATCTAGCAGCCTTTTACGGTTAAGATACATAATTTAGCACACATTGTTTGCATCCTTTCGCAGTAAATCTAAATGTATTCGGCGCAGTGTCATATCTTCATATATATTTTTCAGGATATATAGAACATGTTGCACACAAAACCATGTCCAAAGGATTTGAATTGTAATGGTGTCACTTTACACCAGCAGGCATTTATTTATTTTATCGAGCCTTTTAATTCTATCAACCTCAATACTTTGAAAGCAACTGCTGCCCACACACTGTGCCACTTGCTTAGGCGAAGAACAGAAAAAAACAACAACACATTAATTCAGAAATAACAAGTTATCCCTTAAAGCGATGATGATGAATTCAGTGTCAGGCTAAAGCCATCGTCTCTGGTGGAAAAACAGACGGATGTAACGTTTGTAGTCAAATATATTAAGGGTTTCAGATGTATTTTTAAGCATTTATCATGTCATCTGCAACAGAATACTGAAAGCTTTGTCTCCCACATACTGCACAGTGCATATGGTACCAATTGAACAGTTTTCAGAAACGGAAGAGAGGGAACTGCATTATCACTCGTTCTAGTGTGGTAGTTTCCATGGAGACGAGTGTAGGTGGTGTACTGTGCTGTACTCCTTCCTTGTCCTCTCCCCTCTTCTGTTGCCCACCCTCTCTGTTCTGCTATCTGCAACATCCGCACAACTTTCATTCCTTCACATTCACTCAAATCTTATCGCCTTTTTTTTTTATTCTGCAGGATTTTCAATGTGCACATTCTCAGTTTGAACCACCTTTGCATGAAATGTATTACTTGGAATTAAACTGAAAGAAAGTCTCATTTGGTTGAGACTATTTTAGGTTATTTTCTTTGTGGATTAAAACAGTTGACATGAGAATCTTATTTTTTAGGTTTTTACATTATAGCTTTTACCTTATATTCTATGATTCAGCGTCTTTCTTAAACCCCTAAATCTATTCCTTCATTTTGTTTTTTGCTGACTGTCCAAGTTCTTCTACATGCTTTGTCAATCGTTGCTTTTTGTAGAGCAGCTATTCTTTCATCAGTTGCCATGGAGATGTATGTGTTTCTCTGTGAGGGGTGAGGGGATGTTTCATCTCCAGTTAATGTTTTTTTGAAGATTGCATGTCCTGTCCAGTGTCCCAAGTAGGGTAGAAAATGTTTTTAAAAGGCTATTTCTGCTCACGATGTTTGACATTTTGCTCATCATTTATGCCCTCTCGATTGTGTGCTATGGATGCCTTCAATTTAAGGTGCAATTTTCCACTTTTTTTGAGTGAGTCTTTGACATTCAGTAACATCACTGAAGTTGTTCCTCACTGAAACTTGTTTTTGCTCAGGGCAGCTTGATCACTCTTTAATCCCAATACATGAGAACCTACAATTTATATCAACAAGATAAAAGAACATGCAAAATGAAAAATATATTCAGTGACTCCAGTGATAATTTTTTAGAAGTGTAGAGTACGACAATGTAACTGTCTCTAAACATGACTGTGAAAACAAACAAATGCTTATCTGTTTCCTAATTTATCGCATGGTTTGTCTGTTTAGAGCAGTGGATCTCAACTGGTCAGGCCTCGGGACCCACTTTTTACTTGGTCAATACATCGTGGCCCAACATTTTGAAGCACTCAAATCTATTCAACAAAAAAACGTGCTGTAATATATACGCTTTTCAGCATACAATATTAATACAAGTGAAGTACAGTGCATATATCCCTTATATCCCTTCACAGAACTAAAGTATGCTTTTAAAAAAGGTTTAATGAGATGATGGAATCAAAGCTGAACTGTATGACATGAAAAGGCACACGTGCTGCAAACCCAACCCCAGAAGGGGGGTCTGGGGGGATTCTCCCCCAGGAGATTTTTAGAAATACTAACATAAACTATGCATTCTGGTACACTCTGAGAAGAAAATAAATAAATCTATTACTACCCGACATATTAATAATATTTTATGCCATTGTTTGTTTTTCACTTTGTTCTGACAGAGCAAAGAGGAGATAGTCTGTGTGACTTACTTTAAATTGTGGGTAGGGTAGATAGCCCCCATTGTTCTGTGACCTGTCAATCATCAAACCGGGGGTCATATTTCATTATGTGTTCATTTTTATCTGAAGTTGTACCCATGGATGTATAAAGAAGAGTTCTACCGCAAAGTTATTCTCGGTGGGGACTTCCAGCAACAATCTTGATTCTGATTGGCCAGAAGACTCGAAAAAACATCAGCAAAGATATTTTATTGAGAAGATGATCACTACGTGACAGAAGTTTTCAAACCCTCTTATGGTCTCCGGTACTTCCAGTCCAACGCCGACTGCATGCACAGCGTTAGAAAATCGGGCCTTCAAAATAATGTTTTTTTTTTTTGTTCTTCACTCACACATCCGCGACCCACTCGAAACGGGTGGGTCGCGACCCACCAGTTGAGAACCACTGGTTTAGAGATCGAACCATTCAGATTAATTTAAAGGTTTATCATCATTTAGGGAAAAATGTTATCATTACTCACTTCTCAGTTTTCTATCAATCAACATCCACCAGACTCATGTTTGTGATATAGTGTCATAAATAGAGAGAAATATCTGAGTTAAACCTTCTTTAAATAGGATTTATGTAACACCCTCATTATATATGCCCACAAAATGATCTATGACAAATTCAGGATTTGACAATTAGCAATACACATTTACGTAACATATTTATATAGCAGATATAAAAAATAAGAATGTTTTGAAGCAGAACAGTCGCTGGAGCCTCCACATTTCTGTACCTCTCTGGACAGTTTTTCTTGGACTCTCTGTCTGGACTGGATTTTTTTCAGTCAGTGTAAAAAATAAGTGATAACACAATATTAAAATACCAATGAGTCACACACAGGCTTACATTTATCCTGTGTATTGGCTTAGATAATATCAATCAGTACCTTTAAGCTTAGGTTCACTTTTTTTTAAAGTCAGTGACATGTCCATTTGTACATTGAGGGAGTTCTTTTTTTTTTTCAGACTTTTTTTTTTCCAGACATGTAAACATATGTAAGGCCACAACATCATCAGTATTCGTCGTGTGCAAAAATGTAGGGAATTTAGAGACTAACTGTAATCGAAAGTACCTGAACCCTTATATTATCTTAATAGTATTATCAAAATAATAACCACGGGTTATCTCGACTGCTGTTTTTTAACAGAAAGCCTGTGTTCAAAACATACATGATGTTTATGCGGGTGGCACATTAACGGGATACATAGGATCAGAACGCATGTACCAGGAATAACATTTATTAGCATGGATTACAAGTTGGATAGGAGATACTCACTGATGATTATCATGGCAAAAACTATTTACAGTAACAATATCAGTAGAAAATGAGAAAGAAAAATCAATCAAATCCATCTTTCACTTCGCGTTTCATCTATTCTTTGGCAAATGAATGCACTTATTTGGTTGTGGGGCGTTGGGAGACAACGACAACGCTAGAAACTGAAAGAAACGGTATACTTCAATACCAAAACCAGTAAAACATATCTTGCTTTGTGGTAACGCTGTATTTCTAATGGTGACTTTGCGGCTGTTGCAAGAAAAATAAAGTAAAGTTGCTTATGCATAACTTTCTAGAAACCCTGTCCTTCTAATTCACAAATCTGTTCCACAAACTGGACCTGATAGTACATCATGTCTCACTGTTACCTGAAGAAACACGCCCCCACCAATGCAACCCGCTTGTGTTGTTTTAAGGCAGGGCGGATATGACGCCCACTAAAAGTCTGGATATCTTTGGCTTTGATCATTCTTTACGTACAGTGAACAGCAGAAACAATTATAACGACCAATAACTCTTTGATTGTAGGGACGTGACGTGAGTATTGTGTTAAAAAAACAAAAAACTGAGCCTGTCCTTTAATCTGTTTCTGTGGCTGGTTTGAATGAACTTGAGCGGCCCCTGTGCTACATCTATAAATTGCAGGATTAGTGTGCTAGGTGCATGATTCCTATGCTGAAAAAATAAGGTCCTAAAACTTGTTTTTGATACCCGATTAGAAACAAAAGCAAGTACTTTTATCATAGTGGTTGTACTTAATGTATACAACAACACAATTAAGTGAACACAAAGCATTTCCTGTACAGTAAACCTGGGGACCCTGGGGATCTTGTTACCAAAAATCCGTTGCACCAAAAACCAGCTGTCTCAGAATAAGATGTTTTTCTTCCATCAGCTTTCGCATTAGTTCCCATGTGCATCATGCAGCTCCAGAGAGCACTGTCTTATTAAAACGTTGTTTACATGAAATATTACTTTTATGTTCTCGGTCTCTCTAAAAAAAATACATCTAAAATATAAGTTGATGGAAGGATTCAGGTGTACAAACTCGAGCCTTATTAGAGAGAGGAGCACCCGTACGTTTATGAGTTAGACATTAAGCCCACTCAATGCAGGAAGTAACTTAAATTAACTTTATTATACTGCTTAACATCTTTCCCACCGTAATTATTGGTAACAGTGGGCGGTCAGCCGTCATCGCTCCGTTTCGTTTTCAAACTCCAGAGATGGTACAGCACAGGGCGGACTCGAGCTGCCTTTGGAGGCGTGGGTTTCTGTTTCTGTCTATCTTACGCACTATCTCCGCCCTCCAGGGAGAGACTTCTCCATTTACTGACCACCTTTTTTTCACGCACCGCCGTTAAATCAAAATTAGGTGTGACGGATTGCAAGAGAGCAAAGGACCCGGCGTCAATTTACCTCCGGATTCCCCCTCGTTTGGAATTTCTGGATTATGGGGACGTCGTTATGCCACGCAGGGTAAACCTCAGCCGCTTTCCAAGATTAAATCACCCGAGCTAGAAGCAAGGAGCACGTTAAAAAATGTGCATGAATCAGATGATGCTGCAAATTATCAGGACTTCGCCTGTAAATACCTCTGGGATGTTTATTTTTGTGTTTTTGCGTTTTAGTGCGCGCAGTGTGCAGTAGGTTTGTGTGCTGCTCGGAGTTGGCACAGCCCACAGACATCACCTATAATAATTATTCGCATTTTTATATCGTCGTGATCTTATGTGCAGCCTACATTAGTAACCATGCAGAACCCGTGTCGTGTCTTTACCCTCGGTGGAGTGTTTGAAATGTAAATATAAGTGAGACATTTTGAACTAATTGGCTCTGTGGATGGTTTGACCAAAACGCGTTAGTAGGACCTGGTATCATTCCGACAGAATACAGCGACGCAGGGGGTATTTGAAGTCACATGTTCCCAGAACAAACATTTAAGATGACAAAAACCGTCCCCAGAAGAGATTCTCTTTATTACCGAGGAAGCTGCATTGGGATCACATCTCAGTTCCTGGATTGCACTAGAGTTGGAGGACAGGGAGCCGAGGAAGAGAGGGAGGAGAAGCAGAGGAGAGCTGGCGAGCTGCACACCAGAGCTGATGGGCAAGCTTTGGCTTCAGTGATGGACTGAGCTGAAGGTGACGGGACCCCCAGTGACAGCCGGCTTCACGCGCCCCCCCCTCCCCTAAGAGCCTTCACACTTCACACAAGGCATGTATGGACACACTGCAGCATAGGTGAGAACAGCAGGAGCTGCCCACACATCGAATTGTCCTAATGATTGAAATACAACCATCTCTCACAGAGGACTACACCGGCCTTGTATTTGGAAACTCAGGTCTGCATAAACTGATTCTACCTTTGTCCCAAAAAGCAAGTACACCTGCAACCTCAGCCCCTTCCCAAGTGCCCTGAAAGCCTGCCGGATTGTGTCTGCAACCTCAGATGTAACTAAGCTATCAAGATTTCTTCTCCAGGAAGTCCTGTGATACTGGGTAAGTGTTGTGCACCTTTGGGCAGAAAGTAAAATAACATGCAGACCACATGTTTGTGACAGCTGGCTTATGAAGGCTCAGTAATCGAGGTGTAGAAGCTGAGTATCATAATGCAAAGGCAGCTGGGTCTATACCAGGTGTTGGGTTCAGGGTCATGGTGAGAATGTTTTTTAAGGTGAAGCATTGAAGGCCAAATGACCTCCAATGACACAGTGATGAGTGAAATGATCATGACTTTATGATATCAGTGACAATTATCCCTAAAGATTAAGAACATTATTATAAACCTGAAATGAAAAATAAGCATGAAACGATACAACTAAAACATGTTAACAGCACTATTTCATGCTAAATTATGAAAATAGAGAAAAATAATAATATCAGCCTTAAGCTTTAAAACCTGTGGTCATTAATAATAATAACAACTTGAATTTATATAGCGCCTTTCATAACCTCAAGGTCGCTTTACAAAGAAACATACAAGGACAAGACATTAAACATAAAAATTGTGTTAACAATTAACACAATCTGTAGGTGTGTGACAGTGTAGCCAGACTGCTTCTGTCTCTACCTTTACCTCACACTCACTTGTGTCATACAGGGTAAATAATCAAGTGTACACAGTGTCTCAACTTTAACACTGCGGTACATTTCTACCAGTATATCAATACAACCCTTGAGGGACAGGACCACATAGGTACAAATAATTAGATTTGCCTCATAACTTTACATACACCTGGTGCCTTTGAAACATGTCTTTCAAGTTTTTTCAAGGCACAGTTTGTTTTAGACCCTATTTGGAGCCCCCCCCCCCCTTACTTGCATTTGCTGGTGGATGTTTGGTAAGACAATTTATGGAGAGTTTTCACGTAGGAGCTTCTGATTATTCATCATTATCTTTGTAGAATATGAAGTCTTAATTATCACATGCAATATTAGCATATAACATAATGCTTTTCAGCACTACTCATGGGATATTTCAGTCAAATAATGTGAGAGCAGTATTCAGGTTTATCAAAGCACATATTTGTTCAAAGTGAATTCAAACACAACTGTAAAAGGAATACACTTCACTTGTCCTTTGGGGCAATTTGCAGAGGCACTCACATTAACATAATATGTGATATGCGACAATTACATTTGTTATATATAAAAATTGAAGGATAAGCTCTACACATTATGATACTATAGCATATGTAAATGCAAAAATAATGTATACCCATAATAATGATAATATTTTCTGGTGAAATTACTGCTAATATTTACAATAAGAGAATATGTAAACTTTTAATAGTAAGTTGCATTCCGTGTCTAATTGGCACAAATATGCTCTGTGTCACTGCCCAAAGATGCATTTTGGATACATAATATCATTCCACAAAGTCAGCATGTGACACCCCCACTCAAATATTATTCATTCATATAATTTTGTTCAATAGAGTATTGATTATTTTCAATTGCATCCATCAACCCCTCTCTTCCTGGGGTGAAATCAGCGTTCAAACCTGATTGATTGGCCGATTACATTTAGATTTCATTGATCCCTTTAGTTTGTAAATGATCCATCTCTGCACATGTAAGAGCTGGGATGTGCAAGTTAGATGTTAATGGCTGGGACCAATGCTTTAAAGCCTTGACCATTGCCATGGTAATCGATGCCAGGCAATTTGTATCATTTTAGCTTTCTGAAATTAGTTGACGATATTTGCCAAAAAGAGTCCCACTTTCCCTGGACAATGCACTGAAGTCTGATGTTTGGCACTGCCATTTTAGCACATATATGAGTGGAGGCCCCTATTTTTACAGTCTATTACATTTCAGTGCGGGCTCTTGAATACAGCTATAATGCAGTAGTGGAGAGAGAGAGGCTCAGTTAATGAAATGTCTGAGGCGGCACACTTGATAGAACGAGATAAGTCCGGCTCACTCTGACTCATTGCCCCTCACAGGATTTCCCCGTCCTCCTCCATACGAAATGCCTATAATATATGAACTATCTCATACATCTCCCAAAGGAATTATTTTCTTAGTTTAGCTGAAATAGCGAGGCGGGAGTCACGGACGTCTTTTAATCTATCCTTGTGGAGGATATGGACTCCTTGCGTCTCTGCCACAGTTGTCAGCTGAGAGCCTGACAGCCAGCAAAGAGCTGAATCTACTCCAACACCAAGTTTCCGTCATAATTCTGCTGCTCTTCAGCCATCTTCAAGGCAACGCATGGAGGGGGCTTTCTCTCGCTGCCAAGGACAGAAAGGCTTTGTTTGTGAGAATGTTCTCTAAAAGAAAGTAGGTACTCCTGTCAGCGAGCTCCTGTCCTGCAATCTTCTCTAATTGTTTCTTTTTGCCTTAGGCCATGAATTTATTTGCCATGCTTTTTTTTTTTTCGAGCAAACCAACGGAGAGAAAACACAAGGTGTTTTTACCCCTCTGGTAATTCTCCTCCATCCCGAACCTCTGTTCTCTCTTCACACAGTCTGACAACGTACTGCATCATAATAAAACAGACCTCTCCTCATGCTCCCCTTCTTTTAATGTCTTGAGATCTTCCAAATGTCCTTTGACAGGTACAATATTTATTGGTGAACTGATGACTGTTTTTTAAAATTATTTTAATCAGAGAACAATGATGAAAGATGGATTTCTAAGTAGGAATGCTTATCAATTAATCATAGTAACAGCTTGTGGCTAAGCAGCATGACATTTAGCCATAAAGGGCAGCTATGATAAGTTAAACGCTGCTTGTGATACAAGTTTATCATTTAATGTAGCCTGCAGTTTTTCTATGGGGAGTGAAATTAAAAGAATGGCTAAAACATTTTTTTTTCTCAAGATATTGACATGCTTGTGAGTGTGTTAACATTCTCTGCAGTAGCCCCAGGTTGTCCCTCCCATGTATTATCATTGCATTATTTTTCACAGTGCTTTAGTTTTTATGTAAGGCAAATCCTTGCTGATGTTTGAGAAAAGCCAGAAGGCCTTTTAACAACACTTACTGCCTTTTTTGAACGTTTTTTTTCAAGAATCCCCAATGTCTCAAAAATTCCACCTGCTACTTCAAAAATGGCTGGAAGTTACATTTCTCCTTGTTTGATTTAATCCAAGTTGTGTTCTTCATTGTGTCTTCTTTGGTCATATTTGTCTATAACAATGCTTTCCTTTCCTTTTATTTACATGCATAACACATTTAATTTTCCTTGTGTTTATTGTTTTAAGTGACTATGGGTCTATGAATCTTAAAAAACTAAAGGACCAACTTGTGTGTGTGTGCGATATAGCTGTATGGACACATCCTCAAAATCGTGGCTGCCGCATCAGAGTCAGTTTGGGTTGGTTGGTCAAGCGGAGGTTGGCTGTGGCGGACCTGGAGTTTTAACCCCAAGTGAGTCAGTCTAGAGGTCTACTTCTCTCTGCTGTCAACTGTACCTAACTCTAACGGTCTGTCGTTGTCCAGTGAGCTTTTTTCTCTGTTATGTATGTTTATAAATGTTCCCCAACCCGCTGTCTTCTCTGACATCTATTGACACCACTGTTGCAGTTGTTAAATGTAAGGTTTACCATACACTGCGACATCTTCCTCTGCCATTGCTTCTAGTCCTTTTCAGCCTTATGAGGCTTTACAAAAGTACCTCCTATATATTAAGGATTTTTTTTTACCGCTCAACCCTCCTCTCAGCCTCTGAGCCCTGCTTTGTCACACTCCCAGAGTTTTATTTTGACATCCTCTAGGTTTGATAGCGCCATTTGCCTTTTACTCAGGCTTTGATACTCTCCGAGTCTCCCTCCTCTCTGCGCTCGGTTTACTTCCCCAGATGAAAGCAGCCATTTCTGCTCCCTACGGGGACAGGAAGAGAAATCATTGTCTGTTAGTTAGCACAGCGTGTAAAGCTGTTGTTTAATTTCACACTTTAAGACTTACGCAGGAATGTTTTTGAAGTGTTGGGAAGAAACAAACAAGATACAGTGCATATTTGACAGGGAATACATAGTTAACAATCACCTCTTTTGAAAATGACAAGATAATTCAGAAGTATCTCAGGACAGTCGGTGTTAAGAGGCTCACATTGCTGCTTGATTTCGTTTGCACAATTTTCAGCTGTTTAATTTGGCTATGCTTATTAACAAGCACAGTAATAATGCTTCTGAATACAGTAGTAAAAATGAAGGTAGTTTGATGGAGAGCCGTGCACAAGCTGCAAACATGTTCCTATGGTAACTAGGCCACACTCCCCTTGGCTAGCTCACACACACACTCACACAGGCAGGCAGGCAGAGGGACGAGCAGGAGAGAGACAGGAACACACGTGATGGAGAGCAACTTCAGATTTTTTATTCCGGTTATTGTTCTTATGCCTTCCCGCAACTTGAATGGTATTTACATTTTAAAATGTCTGCCTCTTGGCCTTGAGAAAGTGTGGTTACATCGCAGGACGTTGAAAACGTTTTCTTTTCTGTTCCTCCAAAATTACCAAGCCGATCTCAGGTTCTTCCCGTGGCTCCCTCACACCCACACTGCCCTGCTTCCTCAACTCCTCCACCCACCGCTGCTTCCAAATCCTGCTACTCTACCTTTTCTGTGCATTTTACATTTACCAGATTACGGTGCTGTTTCTAAACATAGCACCAGAGTGGCTCTGAGTCACGAGTGTCACTTGTCCCTTTTTGTGGCTCAACTTTTTCTCTGCATTAAACCCAGACAGCCTTTTTTAAACATCCTTAAATGGAAGAATTATCAACATTTTAGGGCTATTATAGTTTAAATAATTGTAGGACTTGCATAACTTTTTCCAACAATAGCCCCTGATGTTGATTCACCTCACATTTAGGCCTATTGCAGGACAGTAGTTCTCTAAGGCCAGCAGTGTACCTGCAATGTCTTTTTATGTTTTTGTGAACCACCGCTCCCATTTAAACGGTGTCAAACCTCCCGGGGCGATGCTGCTCGCTTGTCAAAGAGCCATAAGGTTGATGCAGCGATGTTCAGCGTCTGTCAGTCAAGCAGGCTGATGGTTTGGACAGCTCGCTGTTGGTGAATGGCTCCTGCACACACTATGCTGCACTGTCTGTGGAGAAATTAGGATGGCAGCTACACTACCTTTCAATTACCTAACAATTGTGCTGAGTTACTTTCCACCACTCCCTTTGACCCAGTGCACTTAGCATAATTAGCATATATTTTCTTAAATGTGCACTGGTAGAGTTTACATTTAATTTAAAGAGTTAATTCACCCAATTTAAAAACATTCAGAAATGTGCTGCTTGTGCTATATTTATACACATCCTTTATGTTCTACAGTTCGACTTAAGACCGTGTTTTTAGCTTGATTGTAGCACATGATTTGATTGAAATGCAACATGCCATGATCCTAAATATGATAAACTTGCATTCATTCGACAACATTCTCCCTTCTTTTGATGGCAGCATTTGCTGTACTGTAACTACTGTGCATGATCACGGCAGTGGTAAATTAAGACATAGCTAGGATACCTGGACATAACGACTTACTCTGTGTTATGGACATATTTGAGCTGTTGGGAAAATAGAAAATACAGAGACATAATTACCATATGGTTGTTGTTGACAACAGTATTTACTACTCGGAATATGGCAATTAAGGAGGCATCCGTATGACATGAATGCGACATCTGCACTGGCAGGCCTGTGTGTGTGTGTGTGTGTGTGTGTGTCACCAGAGGCTCCAGACCAGACAAAATGAGATCCTGTGTGTGATCTGTAACGGGAAACACTGTCACCTCGAGACAAAGTGACCGACTGCACCATCAATGCTGTGGATAGTCTCTTAATTTTCTCAGAAGGGTCATCTCCCACCCTCAATGAATAAATCATAAAGAGGCTTCCCACAGGTGATGTAAAAACAAAACACCTGTCGTTGATCACAATGGCTCATCTAGTAGTATAAACAATGCAGAGTCTCCTCTCAGGAGAAATGCAAATGATGGTCAGTGAAGCTTATATTTCTCAGTTTAAATGTGTTTTTTTATTTCCTCAAAGTTGCAGAGTGGCATCAGTAAAAGCCTCCATATTGGCATAATTTGTCATCATTATCACAGTAATGCTTTCATGTCCAAACCAAGCCATGATTTTACAAGCATTTATATTCAGCTGCAGTAAGAAAAGTCACTTGTTTATAAAACAACTTAACACCATAACATTTTCAGTCTATGCTTTCCCAGGAGTATTCTCTGGTTGGTCTATGGCTTTTCTCGGTTTCAGATATGGTTGTGTCCTCAAAATGCAAACACTTGAGGAGACAAGAGTTTACCCCCCAAAATAACTTGTGGGGCCTATTAACAAAATTGAAAGATTGGTTTTCTTGATGATTATTCCAAAGGTCTTGTAGTACAAACTTGACACATTTAAATGTATATCATACAACCATGTTGCAGTGGCCTCCCTTTGTGCAATAAAGCGCTGCCAGGGCAGGGGGGAATCAAATCCCCCATCTATGCTAAAAATAAATATATATATATATATTAGATGGGCTTTTTCAGTGTGAATATGTTTTAATATAAAACCAACTTAGAATCTTTGTGAATTTGGGACTAGCTGGTTGTCATGTTAGCATGTGGAGTTAGCCTTTAGCCCAAACCACATGTCTTTCCTTTGACAGGCTGGCAGAGCTGCTAACTGTGGACTCTTGTTTATCGCTTCGTAAGTTGGTGGCAGCTGGTTTACACTGAAGCAATGTAACTGATACCAGAAACAATTAATTGTTAAATGAACATGATGAAATACAATTTATAAATGTTGATTGGTGTTGTCATAGCTTATGAACAATTTGACAATAATAATAATAAAGCTTTATTTATATAGCACTTTTCATACAACACATGCAGCTCAAAGTGCTTTACAAAATGACACATCACAGGTTAAAAACAGACAATAAGAAATTCCCCTGAGATTATTTGTTAAGAAATTTAAAAGGTATATGCAGCAAAATGTTATCATGTTAATAGACGCAAGGAGGTAGAATGTATGATAATACAAATAAAATAAAATACACAACCGAGTCGATGAAACAATATAAAACCCCATAAAACAAAGTGAACATATAGATACAACAGAAATAAAAGAAAAGAGATTAAGACCTATAAAATAAGTAAAACAATATAAAGGCAGGTAAAGTGCGGGGTTGCTAATAAAAAGCTAATCTAAAAAGACATGTCTTTAGCTGTCGTTCAAAAAAACAATAACGGCAGTATATAACGGATGTTGATCTCGCAAATTGCATTTGTTGCATCTCATTGTAGTTTTCGTTGTGATTTTTTCCAATCATTTGAATGGAAAGTTAGTATTGTTTTCTTTGAGTACATGATGAATACAATAGATAGAAAACAAATTGATAAAGAATTAAGAAAGAGCTCTTTGTATTTTAGTTTGGGATGCTTGTTCACTTATCTTGTCGCTTTGTATCCGGATACTTCATCTGGTGTATGTCTATCGCAAAATAAAATCAATCCTGGGTAAAAAGGTTAGGATTTTATTTATTATATTGAAAAGATAAAGTCTCAAAATGTGTATTAATAGAGAGATATATACCAAAGGTTGAGTATGTTTCTCCAACACCCACTCAGTCTTCCTCTTTCTGGCTTTCGCTCCCTCTGTATCACAGTTAGCTAGAGGCTGTTGCCTCCCACACACTTCGTCCTGACAGCAATTTACATTCAGAATAGCCCATGTGAACACATCCATGTGTTATAATGTGTCACGTTTACTTAGAGAACCACATTGGCAATTGGCTGCTTTTGTGGCAATGGTGTTAAACATTTCCAATATGCTAAAATATTCCCCAACATGTCTGTCATTCAATGAGAGATGTCAGGACTCAGCCCCTGCAGGAGAAGCTAAATAAACTCAAATCTTCTTCAGCTGAGGCAGATAGGTCTGATCAGTTCGCTCACTGCACTGTTACCAGGAAAACAGTGTTGTGAAGCTTGATACTTTGTGTCTTTCATCATCTTTATTGTGCAGTTTTGTGCCAATATTTTCTACAGTTCAAGTAGAAGCCCTTGGAGTTGTTTCCATGGATACCAAACAATTAGCTTGGATTCAGAATAGATCCTGGAGAGTCGCCTATTTAGAGGCTTTGGGAGCGAGAAATCATAGGAAGACAGTGTCTTTATTTTCTGTTGCAAAGGGGCGGGGGAAGTAAACCCAAAACAGCTCCTTTAGCTAAATGGGGTATATATATATATACAGTATAAACTGCTCAAACCAATCGATCACAGAACAAATAGAGTAGAATGAATATGAAAATGAAACATAATCACGTTCTCAGCATTAAGAGACCAACCTATAGATGAATCTGAAATGTTATGCCACACTTTCAAAGAAACACATGTATGGTTTTGATTACACCACCAGCTTAGATAAATGCATTAATACAGTAACCAGGGTTAAAAAGAAAGTCGTCTTTGGCTTCAAGGGGCTTGAAACACCGAGGGGGGGGGCCGGGGTTTGTGTGCGAATAAATTGTGCTTCAATTTAGAGTACTTTCACATAGAATGACAATATTATACATTTAAAAAGTTTCATTTCTCTGAGCAACGTACCGCAAATAATGTTTTACGTTGTGGATGTAATGTAACATCATGGAGGCTCTCCTGTCCCATCAAGCCTTAGGAAGAGCACCGAGCTTTAGAGCCAATTTGACATAGAAGCTACAATTTTACGGTCCATCACTTGATATCATTGGGCCCATAAACACTTTGTCCATAGACTTACATTGGGAAAGAGACCTCTGCAGATCAATGGAACACTTTCTAGGCGTCACATCCTCTGCAAAATGAATTGTTTCACTATCAGATATGACTTTTTGTCCAATGCAATAGGCAATGACTCGAAAAAAAAACAAGTTCAAATTATTGTATCTCCATTCAAGTCACCGGACAACTGAACCAAAAATCAATTGAACACGGCTGGGAAATGCTCTAGTGCACTTGCTTTATGGGCCTTAATGGAATTCACTGAGTTCACTGGGTAACACTTGGATAATATTTATATTCACCTCTCGCACATACTTGAAACATTTTCTGGGTAAGAGAACCATGTTTTATCCCAGTATGCAAATAATTCAAAGCAAATACTGAAGTGTGCCTGAATGTAGCGAGGAAGCTAACTAGCTATGTATAAAGATGACTACCCCCTTTTTATTCCACCTCTAAACTCTGATTGCACATTTGTTCCCTCTAACAGCTACCGACGGGCACAATAGCAGACCTATTTGAATTGCTGAACAAATTGCACATGTGGGCGGCGATTCACAGGTCTGTAAACAGGCTAGGAAACAAGACAGTTTTTCAAGAGGGAGGAATTTTAATCAAAATGTCCCATAAACAAATCTTGCATTTATGCAGTTGCTTATATACTGTAGAGAGATAAGGATTGAGGAATCCTGAGGATGCTCCGGCTGAATTTGCTAGGCCAACACACAGGAAAGAAAGCCTCAGATCTGATTCCCTAGATTACTGTCTATACTTGTATCGATCCTTCATCATAATCCAGTTTGCTCAAGCCCTAACGTAGACGAGGACCATAAAGTTCAGTATGACTCATTGTTAGCTCTTCCCACCATATATGATTTATATGAATATATATTAATAAATTCAGCATTCAGCTTCCGTCTCTTGTTATCAAGTGACTGCAAATCAATGCAGCCTGTTATCACAACACTGGAATAGGACACACCTCATTCTTTTTTCAGTTTATATAAATATTTCATTGAAAATTCAGCACTCATTTATTGAAAGGTCGAATTTTCCTCTAGCTTTCATGCCATGTGACCTAGTTACTCTAAATCAATGCAGCATACTGTACTGTACTATACTGGAAAAGTAGCACACACCTGTTTTCTTTTTTATATTTTAACAATTTACTTGGAATGTTATTTATATATACTTCTCACAGGTTTTCGACTGGCTTTGGAAACATAATTGTTTCTCATGGAAAGGTCGATGAATAGCGTCTGACAGTCACAATGTTGTTCTTTGTGTTTTTTGGAGGCTGTAGCTGTCTGTGCTTGTGCTTTACTAACACCTCTTATGCTGCACTGCTGATGTGCTGAAAGCTTATTTGTGATTATGATGTGTTTGGCATGTTTTTTTTAAATGCTTTGTGTGTATTTGACCAAAGCAATGCAAGCAATAAATAAGATAATGAGACTTGTCAAAATGTCTACAAATGTCCTTTAAAAACCTCATAAAGGGTGGATAATATGGTACTGTTTAGTGATATGTAAAAATGACATCAACAAATAGTGCTTAAAAAACTAAGAATATAACAACTGCAGTTATTATACCAAGATTCATCATTATATGACGTTAAAGTGTTGAAATGCAATATTGTACTAATGTGTTTCATTCCCTTCGTGATTCATTTAAAAAGATATTTTGAGTAATTGTATTATCACATCATGATACTTCTTTAATATTGTTCCTGGCCTCATGCTGTTTTAAACAAAGAGTGTCAGTGCACTTTGTAAGCCTTTGTACTGTTTCATTTAAAGTGGAGGTAAAATGAATCTTTTAGCTTATTATGGTTCATTGTATTTATTTTTTCACCAAATCTGGTTACAATACTTACTACAAGTCAATGCAATTAGGCTTTGAGGTTGTCTACAATGTCTTTGTATGCATTTATTGATTCCTTTTTTCTTTCTTTTCCAATAGACCAATCTCGCAGGGCAAGTTTTGCCTCTGTAAGACAGTCGAGCATGGAGACGCCTCCCAATGCCACCCCGCAGCCCTTCAGACAGCCGGTGAGTATTTAAATGTTGGTCACACTCTCCTGATGCATATGTACGCTTTCCGCTAGAAAACATATGCAACTTGGCTTTTTGGGCCAATCTGATATTACAAGGGAACAATGCCAATGTGATTTTAAAGGAGGAGTTAGCACGTTCATATGGTTTTCATACGTTGAATTATAACTTAACTGGATGATGTTTTTCAATCCAGTTTATTCTGTCAGTTTCTTTTACTATTTACTTATTATTATTATGTATTTTCCCGTGTTGAAACTTCAGAGTTTTCTGAATCGGAGGCTGAAGGGCTCCATCAAGAGGGCCAAAAGTCAACCCAAACTGGACCGGACCAGCAGCTTCAGACAAATGATTTTGCCCCGGTTTCGAAGTGCGGACCAAGAGAGGTGTGTAGCATTTACTGTATAAAGGGTCATATATTTAAAAGTAAAACCAACCGTTTCTTAACCTCACTGTCACATGGGGTTTGGCCATTTTCACAACATAGTTTTTACTTATCATAGCAGGAAAAGTACAGGTGTACCTGTATACAGTATCTTTAATGATGAAGAGTTCCCTGTTTATATGGCTAACACGGCTGATCAAATTAAACAGGGCCATTGTTAAGGTTTTAGTTACCTGCGCTTCTTCAAATGTCGAAATATCTCCTGCAAAAAATAGTCTAATGCTACTCTGTTGTGATGATCCCCTAACTTTTCATCAATCGTTTTATACCATTTCAAGCCCTTTAGTAAAGTGGATTGAATGGTTAAACAAATGGTGTCATCATCAAGCCACTCAGCATAATATAGAAGTTTTAACATAACAGATTTACCTAAGGTTGAAACCTTGTCGATTTCTATTAATTTGTGGTCTGTGTGGCTGCTCCTCTTCTTATCAGTGCACAAAAGAGAAAACTATATAAAACTATCATGAATTGAATTTGTTGAAACATCTTATATTCAGTTGTTGTTGTTAGAATAACATTAATCCTACATTGCTCATATCAATGGTATTTCTGTTTTATCTTCAGGACTCATAGCTTGCAGAGACTCTCATGACAGCTTTTCTTTCTTGTTTTTGTTTCCTGACGTGAGGTCACATCCCAGGAGGTTCAGGCTTGCAAAGTGACCAAAATGTTCTGCAGTTCTCACACAATCCTGTCACGACGCACATATGGGAAATGTAAAGATGTAGAGAGGCAGAACGTAACGCTGACAGCACAATTTCCTCCAGCAACGTGGGATGCATAGTAGACATTTTCAGGAATGGTGCGGATGTCCAGTGCTCAGAGAAGAGGAATGTGTCATGTAGCGCAGGATATCAAAAATATATTTTTAGAAAAATGAAGCCAAGCAGAAGCCCGGGTCACATTTTTTAATGTATAACATTATTAGGACTGTGTCCAGGGGAGGCAGCTCTGGATGTGGTGGTGGTAGCAATATGGTTTTGGAGTTAAAGGGACTTTGTGCCTCAGTCATCCTCTAACCACAGCCGTGGACTGGCTCCCACCGCTGCCTCAGACAGCTGCCTTCACAGCCTGCTTGAGTTCTGCCCACACACGCTTAATTCACTCAGTACTGCTGCTAAGTTGACTTTGCTATAAACCCTTGGAGTCCAACTTCACACTCTAGCTTTCCAACCCAGCTGCTCTACCTTTGCTGCCAAATTGGTTTAGCGGAGCCGTACAGCACGGCTCCTCAAACCAGACTATTGAATGCACCTCTGACCAACATAAAATCTGGCCTTAAATTAGTGCTCTTCATTTTCTGCATAATTAGCAGGTGTTTCTTCCAAGCCACTGCTTTCTCTTTCTCTCTCATGTTCAAAGCCTGTGTTAATAACGCAGCATGCTTGCGCCGGCTTCCTGTTGCAGATATGCTCCACATTTTCATTCTTTTTGAAAAATAATAACATTTGGGAAAATAGGCTGTTAAATGAGAAGACGGTCGTATTTGCCTGTGATGTTTTTGGGAAGAAATAGACTTTTACCCTCTTCTGCTGTGCCCCACACTGCTTCAGGCCTTCAGGTAAAACGCTCAAGTTTCTAGGTTATTATCTGATACCAGCGTAATGACATGAGGGATATCACTCTCTTAACCAACTCTCAAAGAAAAGGTTTTTCCTCCATTCCTTTTTTTCAATTTGCGCTCTGTCCTTGCTTTGCCAAAGAGACAGATTTGGCTCACTTTTTTTTATTTCCTTTTCCACCACCTCTTAATTTTCCTGATAGAGCTGCCCCCTTTAAAGGAGGTTACCCAATGATCAGGTCTAATCCTTTGAGCCCTTTTATGTCCACACTACATTATTTCTGCAGATTAGCCCCACTGAACGGCTTACCTTTATCCCCATTTACACAGTGGGCAATACCAACATCACCACATTGACTGTTTTTTAATTCATGTGCAGTTGAAATGACGAAAATGCCAGACAACTAACTGTAACACTGTAGACTAATTTCCCAATGGGCAGCATGCCTCACATGAGGCGAGTCAACAGACCAAACTGCAAACAAAAGAACTGGAAATCTGGTATTCTTAGCTTTCCTATAAAACTCATTATGAAAGGATCATATCTCAAAGATCCTACTGAAATTGCAGGAGTAAGGATTTCCGGGTGCCTTATTTTTTGTTTTATGAAATCCTTTTTGTATTGTTAATCTAAATACCATAACATATAATAAAACATGGTTATGGTATAATAAAGAACCATATCTGAATCCTTCTCTCACCAGGACACGCTTGATGCAGAGCTTCAAAGAATCCCACTCCCATGAATCCCTACTTTCTCCTAGCAGTGCTGCGGAGGCTTTGGACCTCGTTTTGGATGAAGATGCCATAATCAAACCTGTCCACTCGAGCATTTTAGGACAAGAGTACTGCTTTGAGGTGTGTTGTGTAATCATTTCTACTCTCCCTGGCTTTATCTGCCTCTAATGGACCCATCTTTTCTAGACTAATTGTAGATTTCTACAGCCAACCAACCAATAAGAAACTTTAAAGCCAGTTCTCAGCTCTCTCTGAATTTCATATATTGTTAAAAGGGATTTGTTTTAAAAGGTTTGTTAGATTAGTCTTCATTTTCTTTCACACAAAGAATTTCTCTGGTTTCAGCTTATTAAAGGTGAGAATTTACAGTTTCTCCCTGTTTGTGCGCCTGAAAATCTTTCTATTATGGAAAAGACAAGGAATTTGAAGAAGTTACAAGTCAATACACTTCTGATCGAATGGGACAAACTGTCAACAAATAGTGGAAATAGTTGTTAGCTGAAGCTATTAATATAATAATATAATAATGTAGGCACTAAATATTTGTTTTGTCTGCAGGTAACAACCAATTCAGGCACAAAATGTTTCGCCTGCCGTTCAGCTTCAGAGAGAGACAAGTGGATTGAAAATCTGCAGCGAGCGGTCAAACCAAACAAGGTAGATTCTGTATTTCATCACCAAATCCAGGTTGTAACATTGTGAACAGATGTAAATAAGGGCTGCTATAATGCAGTAACAGGACTCCTTGTTTCAATTCCAGGACAACAGCAGACGGGTGGATAATGTGCTCAAGTTGTGGATCATTGAAGCTCGAGACCTCCCGGCTAAGAAGCGCTACTATTGTGAGCTGTGTCTGGATGACATGCTGTACGCACGCACCACCAGCAAACCCCGGACCGACACCGTCTTCTGGGGCGAGCATTTTGAGTTCAACAATTTGCCTACCATTCGTAGCCTTCGTTTTCACCTCTACAAGGAAACTGACAAAAAGAGACGCAAGGTAATGTCTTCTCTAGCCTATTAACAACAGAACATAACTGGGTACTCTTGATTTAAATAGTCCGCATACATATGTTTTGTTATTTGTAACATTCAACATCGTATTAGGTGAGATTCAGCATTCAAATGATTTTGACCTGGCTGTGGATGTTTAACAGATTATTCACATAATCTGTGTCAATATGCATGACATTTAACATATAATCACTACTACTTTATACAATGTATTTAAAGTACACAAACTTGTAGTTAGTTAACTGTGACCAAAAACATTAGTCAAAAAACATTTCATATTGCCACAAAACATTACAATTTATTTGTGTTGTATTTCCTTGGCTAATCTAGGAGAAAAGCACATATCTCGGCCTTGTCAGCATCCCCATCTCCAGCATCACGGGCCGGCAGTTTGTGGAGCAGTGGTACCCGGTCATACAGTCCAGTGTCTTGGCCAAAAGCGGCGGTGTCGGGAGTACCAAAGTGATCAACGCCTCAATACGTGTCAAATCTCGCTACCAGACAATGAACATCCTCCCGATGGAGCTGTACAAGGAGTTTGCAGAGTACATCACCAACAACTACCGAACACTGTGTGCCGTCCTGGAGCCACTGCTGAGCGTGAAGAGCAAAGAGGAGGTGGCCTTCGCTCTGGTGCACATCCTGCAAAGCACAGGAAAGACAAAGGTGGGCGAATATGACTTGGTTGCTGATAAAAAATCAGCAATCCCCTATAAATTGTCGCTGTTATGATCTGTAGGTTCCTTGCACTGGCTTGAATTTGAACTACATTTGAATGTTACCTCTTCTCAGGAGTTCCTGTCTGACATGGCCATGTGTGAGGTGGATCGATTCATGGACAGAGAGCACTTGATTTTCCGAGAGAACACGCTAGCTACGAAGGCTGTGGAAGAGTACCTCAAACTGATAGGTCACAGATACCTCAAAGATGCTATAGGTGAGTCAGCTGTTGATTAAAACAGTGTGTATTAAATCTAATGAAAGGAGTTGATGAAGCTTAAAGTGTGATTTACTTACATTTCAGCATGACAGCTTCTGTCATTTAGCACAATATGTGATATTGTTATATGTTGAGATTGTTTCTTTCTACATTGGTGATTCATTTGTGACATTTTTTAAATTACTTGTATTTATTGTGGTGACAGAATCAAGAAATACTAGTCTTAAAAAAACCTGTCTAAATGTCATATCAACAAATAAGAAATAGGCTTTAATACCATTTCTAGCACGATATAACATGAAAATGTCTTCCTTTATCCTCTCATAAAATGAAAGAAAAATAGCTTTTTAGGACTTTTATTGATGCACACAATCCAGTAGACTGTATCTGATTCAAAACAAGACATCACTTTTAAGGTATAACAAATATATGTGACGTTTATATTTTATGTTAAAGTTTAAAAAACAAATTGGTACATGGACATTAATTTCTTCAAGCAGTTTCGAGCTAAACTTTTTGTATGTTTTGTATTTTGGTAAAAATTAAGAATGTTTGATCTACAACCTACAGGTGACTTTATTCGAGCCTTATACGAGTCTGAGGAGAACTGTGAGGTGGATCCCATGCGCGTCCCGCCCTCAGTCCTCGCTGACCATCAAGCCAACCTTCGAATGTGCAGTGAGCTTCTACTCTGCAAGATCATCAACTCGCTTTGGTAATTTATTTTTATATTTAAACCTCAGATAACAGTATAAGTGTTCTGTTCTTTATCTGTGTTGATTGGTGCCTGGTAGGATCTAAAACCTGAAAAAGCTGTGTGGCGTCCATTTTAGTACACAGCAAAGAAAATCTAGTGTATTGCATGTCCCAGTTTCCACTTTTCCTGTAGGCAGAACGATAGAAAAAGGTCTCAAACATAATAATTAATTTTGGAATTGAGTATTTTATGAACGACAAATACAAAGTAAAGTTTTGAACAACACTCATTGTTCAAAAATATTTCCCGTTTTTGGTTATTTAAACGAAACAGAGAAATAAACCAAAACGCCCCAGCCAACACAAATTCTCTGAAAGATACAGGGAAGAAATGCAAACATAAACAAATAAAATAAAAGATTCTTAGCGACAAATGAAAATAAACAGCCTTTTATTTAACCTCCAGAGACCCACCCATTCATTTTTGTCCTCTGTGGAGCACATTGGGTTTTGGTCCATTACTTTGAGGTTATACATGCCACAGCTTAAGTTCAATTGTACTCCACAGAGGACATCCTGGGCTTTTCAAACATATGACATATGTGGGGGTGTGGGTTTGAAAAAGATAATTTCATTGTATTTCAAAATGGCGTCCATCAACACAAGCACTATTTATAGAAAGAGAAATGGTAAGTTTGTCATTTTGTAATTACCAGTGTTGTGAGTTCAGGCCTGGAATTTCGTCATCTTAGTATTAATTATAGTAAGTGAACATCTTAGGAGTTAGTGTAGTGAGTTTTCAGAGCAGTGTAATACTTATTTGACCTAAAACTAAATGTTTTTATGAATGTCCTCTGAGGAGGACGTGGGGATTTGCTAACTTTTTATTTCCCTCATTTTACCCAACACAAATGGAGTCCACTATGGGCCAAAACTAACACTTAGGTTTCTGTAGGGTTCATGGCAGGTGCAGTGAGAAAACATACATCAAGTGCCTCAAGTGTCAGATGTATCTCTGCATTTCAAAAAAGGATGGAGTACTACAAATGAGGGCTCAGTATGTGTTGCATTGGTTGTTGTGCTCTAATGTTGTCTACATGTGCTTGTATGTTAATGTTGTTTGTATACTAT